TATTTTAATTTCAATTCTAACTACACCACTGTTTTCAAAGTCAACTAAAGCTGGGCTTTGGGGGTGGTCGATTGGGTTCCTCCTAGCCGATAGTTATTATTACTATTACTTATTACCATGAAATGATTTTTTGTAATAACGTAGCTATTTGTGCTACTGGGCTTCTTGTTGCAGAAGGTACAGAGGTTATTACTCTAGAGGTTGATAGACACATCAAATAAGGCACTTCAGTTTGATAATCCAAGGAAGATCCTCGTGCAATCATCATTTTACACCTTCAGGCTTGTTCAGCAGCTTCAAAAAGTGTATTGGGCATAAAGAATCTAACTGCCGATGCTAATTCAAAACAAAGACCTTGTACAAACATTCAAACCTTCATTTTTTCTGAATACTGCTTTGTAATAGCCACCTGTTCGAACAGAGACATCATATTCAAAGCATATTGCTCTATCGTCTCTCCAGAATGATGATAGCGATTTAATAATTCTATATTCCACTAATTAATTAGAGCTGGTGTGCAAAATGATTGCTGAAATTGGTGCACAAAGCTTTGATCTTTTATCACCTCATTGTCCCAGTATCATATTCTAGCTTTTTGGCTTGACCACCACGATGCAGCAGGATTAAACAAATGGGCACTTCCAACTATAAGCCATCTTGTTTCCTGAATATTGTTCATATCAAAGGCTTGTCTAGTCATCTTTAACCATTTGACAAGGTCTTGATTTCCTCCATTAAATGTTGGAATTCTGACCAAATTTATTTCACCAAAATTCGCTTGAGGTTCTTTGGATTGTGCCAACACATCTACCATGTTCTGGAGCAACTGTTGGAGTTGTTGATTAAGATTATTCAACAGAATTTCATTTCGGACGTAGTTGTTTTTCTACATTTTTGTACCAGATATCGCCTATACTATTCTACTAATGCTAGTTTACACTATTATACCGACGTTCGTTTTAACTTTTGTATCTACACTCATTCACACTATTGTTGTATACATGTTTGTCCTCTTACTGTTGTAGCATTTGTCCACACTTATTTCCGAAATGTTATCCTCAACATTAACTGTACAATCTTATCAACATTCGCTCACACAGTACTATCTATGTTGTACACACAATACTTATCAATGCCTGCCTACAAAGATTTATCAACACTCATCCAGACAATATTATCAATGCTCGTTCGTACAATACTATCAGCGTTCGTTTGTTCGTTTGTCTACATGATTATCAACACCTTCTGTTGTTCCTCCACACAATCAGCACCAAAATGTTACGACTTGGGAGAGCTTTTGTATATCCAGGCCAATTTAGTTCAGCGCCATAAGCATAAATCCTGATAGTGGTTACACAATCCAGATTTGTACGTGGTAATAATTATCGAATTGGGTAAGTATCATAGGGAACATACAGCACTATGCATAGGTTATATCATCATTTCTATTGAACTATATCCGTAAAGGGTCGTCACGGGCCACGTTCGGGTTACTTATAGGTCCAAGTCGAGTTGTTATAGGTTACGGTTAGGTTCCTTAGGGTCGAAGGTAGGTTGTTACGGGTTACAGTTAGGTTCCGGTTGGTTGCTATGTGTTACTTATTAAGCAAGATTAGTGCGTATTATTTATTATCGGGTCAAAAATAAGAAAGTGCTAGGTCACGTATCCACTATATTTATTACTTTGAGCAGAGTAAGAAAGAGTTCGGAAAAGTTACTTTATTTACTAGACAAACGCCCTATTTATACATTTAGATGTTCAAGGGTTTCAAACCCAGATCGGGGGTTTCGAACCCAGATCCCGGGTTTCAAACCCTAACCCCGGGTTCCAAACCCGTACACGTGCTATTACTATCGTGACTACATGATTTACTACTTTTACATAGGAAGATAAAGAAACTACATAGCGAAAATGCAAGATACGAAAAATTTGTCAAAATTTTTCGTAACACCATCCGATGCGAACAGTTATTATTTTACTTTTAGGTCTTTTTTTACTTGGAACACGATTAATAACAATCATTGGCTTATCAAAAGAACTATAATAAGATACATATGTAGAAAATGTATGTTCATCTATTTGATCTTTCATTATCGTGGTGAATATTTGGCAATCTTTGATATTAGGAATATCATCTAATTGAGAAGCCAAATCATGAATAACGTATTCCGAGTTTGTAAAATATGCAATTTCATCGACATTTGCTAATTAGTTTAAGAAGAAATCAGTGATCTAATAATGTTTAACATTACAGTAATAAGAAGTAATGATATTTTACCTCTTAAAATTCTTTTTCCCAAAGCTTCCAATACCTTCATTTGCAAATCATTTTCCAACAAACTAAAAATTGAATGAATGCTATGATACTCGATTATATCCCATGTCTCGGGATCATTAACTGAACCAATCCAATCAAACCGATCACACTGACGGTATTTTGAAATATCCCCCCTTTTATCGTTAAATCAAATTCTGTGTTGTTACCAAATTCTGTGTTACTTGTCTTCGTTTTAACGTTCTGTTGCGCATTTTTTTTACTTATTTGCGAACCGATTTCGGCCGTCATATCTAATTTATTGATTTTTGAGTGCTCGTCTTTAAATTATAAAAAAAAAGGTAATAAGCTACAAAGTTATAACCCGGATTAATTATAATAAATTAATATGCGCACTTGAATATTTCGTTTCTTTTCAACAATAGCACCACCAAAATATATTGTGCTTGCATAGAAATAGCCGTATTTTTCTGTGATTTTTTTAAGTTTTTCTACTCTTTTATCCTGAGCATTTTCCTTCAGCGCTTCTTCAACATCATTTTTAAACTCGCAAGTTACACAAATATTCTTTTTCGAAATATCTATTCTCATTTTTCTCACCTCAATATATGTATAGTTTATAGCTTTCTGATAGTTTTCTAATTTTTTAAGTGAGACTTCCCTATTGACTCGAAAAAAAACCGAAACCCATGGCAAAATAGAACTAGTTTTTTCAAATGTGATAAAATTTCGTGTACATAGTTCTTCAAATTCATTATTACATTCTACCATTCTCTCCTTTTAAAACGTGTGGATCTGGTATTTCCATAATTGATAATGCCTTACACATAGCCTGTTCTACTGAACCATTCTTAAAAATCAATCCATAGCCACATTTATTTATTAAATCGTAAAGAGCCCCACTGTGATTACTGTTAATAATTATATAACTTTTCTGTAGAAATGGTTTAATCTTTATAATATTTCCATCGTGTCACATAATTTACGATCATGTTCATCATCTTTGCTTATAAAATCGCCCCCAAGCCAACAAAAAACATATTACCAGATAGACGTATATGTCCAATTGGATTTTGTTCATACAAGTCTAATAATCTACTTCGAAACTCTGAAAATGACTGCTCTATATTTGCTATACATGTATAACTATTTTGTTCGTCTGTTTTTATTATGATCTCCTTATCAGTGCTCTTAGGACTTTTAAAGGCTTGCTCAATATATTGTTTAAACATTTTGGTCAGACCAAACCTAATTCGAATACAGTCTACCCTAGTGATCGGTCTGAGAATTCTATCCGTTACAACTTATATTCACTATGGCGTTATATAGTAGGATAATAAAACTTTTAAATTGTTCTAGAAAATTACACCGTTAAATAACGAGGTATTCGCTATAACGGAGTCCGTTAAAACGAGGATAGACTGTACTGTATGTATAAAAAATTATCACAATTGTGATTACACGACATGTACGTTGCATTTCACAATTGTGATTACACGACATGTACAGTTGCCTCACAAAGTATAACACGGTTACACAAACATAATTAAAAAACATAACAAAAATTTATGCAAGACGTACGTACGTACGTATGCTTTTTGCATAAATTTTGTTATGTTTTTTTAATCATGTTTTTGTGTAACCATGTTATACTTTGTGAGATCAAAAAATCACGGACCAAAAAATCTTTAAGTTCGTTTAGGTTAGGGTTAGGGTTAGAGCTAAGGTTAGGGTTAGAGGAGGTCTTATAGTAAAATCGCTCAAAGAAAACTTTTTGTTAGAGCACTAATGGTAGTTTCTTATGCTACTTTTTGAGAAACGTGCAATTTTTGACGAAACGAACGTTTGTTTTGAATTTTCCTGATCGTGCAACGTTACGCGATCTGATTGGTTTGCGGCACAAAAAATCACGTGCCCGTGATTTTTGATGGTTACGCTGGGGTAGTTCTTTGTGAGGCAACTGTACGTTGCGTTTCACAATTGTGGTTACAAGACATGTACGTTGCGTGTCACAATTGTGATTACATGAGCGTTGTTAGTACGTGAACATAGTGTACATAGCAGTCAGTCGAGATGTCACTTTATAATAGTAGGTCAAATGATTGACGCACCCAAATTTTATAAGTAAAATTTTGCTTAAAGAAGTTGACGGTGTAATTTCTAGGTATCATTTTGCAAATTCTCTAGTAGTTCTTTCTGGGAAATGTCAAGGGTGGTTAAAAATAAAACCCAAAAGAATCATGATCACGAAGTTGGGCAATTTTTTGACGATTTTTACTATTTGTTTATGTGATGTGATGTATGTTGTTTACCCAAAAATACCTAAAAAAGGTAAAACTTAATTGACTGTTTATCACTAGGAACTGGAAACCAGTGTAAGTCCGGAGCGTAAAATATTAAGATTATATTAAAAACTAATTAAAAAAGGGAATTGCTATTCGTACCATGGATTTTTGCTATTCGCACCATGGTTATACGAAGATCCCCTCGATTTTATCATTTTATTGTTTATAAACTTTAAAAATTGAAAATTTGGATATTATTTCTGTATTATTGGTAAACATCATACGTATATATAGTATTATATATTCGACCAATCAGCATTCATAAAAGCGGACGGA